CTGCTTTTTAGTACCAAATAGTTTCCTTTTCAATAGTGGTTTGCATGTTGTAGTTCCAGTGTCTAGGTGCAGGAAGATTCAGTAGAGAACCTCTTCAATAGCAGTACAACTTTGTTGCTTGTTTTTGTACATATAGTGGCTTCTTTAGTAAATTATGGTCTGCCTTTGTTTTCCAGCATGTTGTGCTTTTTACCTTGTTGATGACACACACTTGTAAGAGTTCACGAATTTCACATTTGTGCGAGTAAAACTAGAGGAGATTCTTGACATGTGGGTTATGCACATAGAGAAACATTTCTTTTAGTCTCATGTTTATTTTCGAGGTGGACTCTTACCTTCCTGCAAATAAGTGAAAATTAGATTGGAAGAGATTTAGGCAGCCATCTTTCTGTGAGAAATAATTACTCTTAAAATTTTCTCTAGTAAGAAATTATTTCTTCTTTTTCCTACAACAACAAAGTTGTGGCAAAATCTCTTTAAAGCTACTTTTAATTTAATCATAGCATGTGAGACATATTGGTTGGATTATTAATTAACTAAATTGAAGCATGCTGATGGCTGAGAGACCGCAATAGATAACAGGTTCATCCACTGTGAATTATAAATGTGCACATTTATGTTTTCTGAATAAATATTATATGACATATGTTTTATTGTTTCTTGCTGAATGTAACACCATTTTTGTGGTTTAATAATGCATTTGAGTTGATTCTTATTGGAAATTTATGGTTTTTTGCATGAGCCTTGTGCATTTATCATCCTGCATTCCTGCTGTGTCTACAGTTAGCTGCCCCTGTTTGTGTTGGCTGGGTTTTTTGCTGCCCTTACTTTTGCTGTTTGTGTTGGCTAGGCTGATTTGTTGTTGCCCTTGTTTTTGCTGTTGATTTTTTCTGATTTGTTGCTACCCCTGTTTTTGCTGCCATTTAGTTGCTTGTGCTAATGCTTTTTATTTAGTCACCCCTACTTGTTTTTGTAGTTAATAAATTGTGTTAGGCAGGACCATTTACAAGTTTTATTTGTTTTTTACAGGTATGGCATCCAGCAGCCACCCGACATTGGATGAAACAATGAATACGCAACCAAATGTTACTTGCTCGCCGAATGAGGATGCAAATGTTAATCTCTTTCAAAGGAGAAAGAGAACCAAGACATCTATAGTATGGGCTGAATACAAAGAAGTGGTCCTTCCTAATGGTGAGAAGAAAGCAGAGTGTATCCAATGTAAATACAAGCTTCAAATTCATGCATCCGGAAGCACTACACATTTTGGAAGACATTTACAAAGGTGTGTGCAGCGAGCCGCTTCACGTAGACAACAACATAATAATTTTCCCCCTGCTGATTCTAGTGGGGGAACATCTGTCCTTCCTGCTCTTACCAGTAAGTTTGACATGATGGTGATGAGGGAATTGATTGCACAATGGGTGCTTATGCATGAGCACCCATTTACCATTGTGGAAGAGGAGGGTTTGAACAATATGTTTAAATATGGGATTCTAGGATGGTCAAGGGTTTCACGCAATACATGTAAAAATGATTGTGCGAAGGTGTATGAAATGGAGAAACAGAAGTTGAAGACATTGCTAAAAGGTGTAAGGAGGATTAGTTTGACCACAGATTTGTGGAATTCTAACAACCAAAAGTTGGAGTATATGGTTTTGACAGGGCATTGGATAGATGATAATTGGAAGTTGAACAAAGGGGTTCTTAACTTTGTTCGTTTACCTACTCCAAAAGGTGGTGTGCAGATTGCTGATGCAATTTACAAATGTTTGGCAGAATGGGAGATTGAAGATAAGGTCCAAACGATATAAGTGGATAATGCTAGTAGTAATGATGTGGCAATTAGGGTGTTGAAGCAAAATTTTACAATAACAAGGCAGTTGAGTTGTGGGGGTAAAATGTTTCATGTCAGATGTTGTGCACACATCTTAAACTTGATGGTGCAAGATGGTCTTTCACAGATTAGGAGAATCATCGACAAGATCCATGAGAGTGTGGTATACATTAATGGTTCAGAGGGTAGGCTGAAGGTTTTTGCAGAGATTGTGCAACAATTGCGTTTGCTGTGTCGAAAACTTATCCTTGATTGTAAAACAAGGTGGAATTCAACTTATGACATGTTGGAAATTGCAATTAAGTTTAAAGAAGTGTTTCCAAGATACAAAGAAAGGGATGAGGGTTACGAACATTGTCCAGATAAAGAAGATTGGGTGAAAGTAGAGAAAGTCTGTGAGATTCTAAGGGTTTTTAGTACAATGACCAATATCATCTCAGGGAGTAATTATCCAACATCAAATGTATTTCTAAGGCAAGTATGTAGGATCAAAATTTTGTTGGATAAAAAAAGTGAAAGTGAAGATGAATTTATTAGACAGATGGTGAGAAAAATGAAAGAGAAGTGTGATAAGTACTGGGGGCAATGTAATTTGTTGATGGTTGTTGCAGCTATATTGGACCCTAGGTACAAAATTAGGGTGATTGAGTTTTCTTTCCCTAAGATGTATTCTGAAGTTGAGGCATGGGCAAATGCTACAACTATTCGGGATACTTTGTATGAGGTATATGGGGAATATGCTAATGATTGTCAGTCATCTAGTGCAGTTCGCAGAGGTACAATTGAAAGGGTTGGACTTGAAGTAATTCCCGAGGGGTCTATGGGAGGAGCTGATGATTGGGAATTTGATGATTTTCTGGATGAGGTTGAAACTATTGAGCCAAATAAATCTCAGTTGGATATTTATCTAAGCGAGGCATGTTATAAGTGTCAGGGTGATTCAGAAAATTTTGATGCTTTGGATTGGTGGAAGGCAAATGCTTTGAAGTACCCTATCTTGTCTAGGATGGCTCATGATATACTAGCTATTCCCATCACTACAGTGGCTTCAGAGGCTACTTTCAGCGCTGGTAGTAGAGTTATTGACACATATCGATCTTCGTTGTCTCCCGAAACAGTGGAAATGTTGTTATGTGGAGCTGATTGGTGTCACATTCTAAATGGAGTGAAAAAAGGAATCACGGTACATTTTTAATAATATATTTGTTATTTTATTCTACAATTACTCTTATTTCATTCGAACATTGATATTAACTTTTTTTTGTTTTAAATTTCAAATACAGAAGGAACCAGTGGAGATTCAACTTCCGAAAGTTTGAGTTCTATGCTGTTTTGATGATAATTTCGATGTATTTTGATGGACATTTGTGGTTTTTTTTTTCTTTTTTTGGTCTTGGATTATATAATTTGTTGTGTAATACATTGTTTATGTTGATTTGGATGTGATTTTTGTTGATTTAGATGCAAATTCATTAAAAATTGGATCTGATTTGTGTAAAACAAGATGACAGTTATATTAAAAAAGGGCCAAACGAGCCATAATCGAGCCAATTCGAGCTCGTGTTAAACAAGCCGAGTCACGAGCTGAATTTTCCTGACTCGACTGACTCGTGACTCGACTCGAACTCGTCTAATGTTTAACCGAGCCAGGCTCGTTTAGGGTGATACTCGGTTCGACTCGGCTCGTTTACACCCTTATTTTCAACCATGGATCACAAATCCATGGCCGTTTCTATAGCCACTTCACGGCCAAAGATGTGACCGTAAAACGGCCACAAATCTGGGCGACCATGAAACGTAGGGATCTATGGTCGTTTCACGGCCAGATCTTTGGTCATGAAATAGCCATAGAAATGGCTAGATTTGGTTGTTTCTGACCCTGGATCATAGATCCATGGCCGAAAAAGGCCTTATTGGTGCACAACCGGCCAAATTCGTCGGTCGTGAACCATTATGTAACTGGCGTCAACTGTCGGCGATGGTGAGTAACAGCCAGTGGTGGTCTTGGGTGGCTGGAGGTATTTTGTTAACTTTTAAACTTTTTGTGGCTGGGGTGTTTTAGCTAAATTTCCAAATGTAAGGAGGCTGTGTAATTGTTATTTGGTAGACATTTGAAGGAAATTGTGTTCAAAATGTTATTTAATTAAGGGCAATATAGGTATAAAAATCAGATTATCTAGTAATGTTTTAATCCCAAGGGTGGGGGAGGGTATCAGATTACCCCTACATTACCAACAATAAGCACTATTTGCAATAAAAGATTCCCATAATATTTTATTACTTGCAAACCAAACACCCGAATCTTGCAAAATAAATAAAAATTATCCATGTTATCTTATATGCCCCCGATCCAAAGGCACCCTTAGAGTTAAATCTAGCATATAAGGTTTTATTGTTTTTGTGCGGTTGAGGACCAGATTTTAAATAATCTAAGGGTGCATTTGTTTTGTTATTTCTATCCATATTCTCAATCATATTCCCAAAATACCTGTTTGTTTAATTATTTGGGAAATACTATTATATTTTCTAATTACTTTTAGACCCCTTAAGTTTATTACTTTAATTAAACACCCCTAGAAAAAAAAATATAAAAATTAACAAAAACACCCCCACCCACCCATAGTTGCCAGATTCTGGGAATCTGTCACAACGGCATAGAAACGATCCGAAATGGCTGGTAATTTGTCGATCTGGCCTTTTCTGGTCAGATCTATAGTGGATCTGGCCGTTAGCGATGGCCAAAGAAATGAAATCTTGGCCATCGTTGACCGACAACGACGGCTATATCTTTGGCAGTCGTTGACTGCCAAATCTGGCCTTTTGTGACTGTCGACGACTAAATCCACCATGGATCTGACCTTTTCCGGCCAGATCCATGGTGGATTTGGTCGGAAAAGACCATATCGACACATGACCGGCCAGATCTGACTGGTCTGCATCATAACACCATTTTCTGGGTAAGTGAGAGTGTTTTTGTCATTTTACAAAAATTTTATATATTGGGGTGTTTAGTTAAATTAGCAAACCTATGGGGTTTTTTTGTCAATTTTTAAATTTTACCTCACAATCCTCACTCTATTCAACTACCCAATATTATTCTCAAAATCTTATCCAAAATAACAAAACAAATGCACTCTAAGATATCCACAGGAAAGACGGACTCTGCTTACTATATAAAAATTTACATCAATCCATTAAAACATGATAGTAGTATAGTATTGAACGTTTTGAATATTTAGATACATAAGAACACATGAGATTGACATTATACACATTCATCTTTACAATTACAATATACATACAAGTATAACTAATTATAAAGTACAGAGAAATGTTACTGAAAATGAATTTATCAGGTTTAATAAATTAATGTTCTTTCACTGGCCCTCTTGGAATCTTATTCAGAACCCGGGAATTAAACCTTTTGAACACTTTCTTCATTTTACGCATCCCTTTATCCGCAAGAATATAATCAACATCGTCTTCATATCGCTCATACAGAAACGGCAACGTTTCCAAGCACAGTAAACCTTTAGACACAACAAATCATTAAATCATGAACATTAATCAAATTCTAATTATTAATTAAGGTACAATTAAATTTATACTTACCAAGATAAAGAAGATTTAAAAAGCTGAAATAGGTTCCAACCACAGACAGCATGTAGAGAACACTAATTGTCTGGAGAGAACACATAAGGTGTAATTAATTGTTAACAATATCCTTTAATTAAGTTAATTAATGACGCGAACAGTTGTTAATTAAGTAAATAAATGTACCAGAATGAACAGCGCTGGATCTTTCCCATATGCAATGTCGAGAAGCTTTATTACCAAATAATTGTATCTTGCTCGGAAGGTTGAAGCTACATCTCTGAATGCGGATTCACTCAGTACTATTTCAGGAATGTTCGGTTGTTTCCTGAAATAATTTACATGTAAATTGTGATGAAACATTAGCTGTAATAGCTAGAAGAATAGTTGTTTTCAATCGCTCCTGAAATTTTCTGAAGTTTCATAAAATTTAGCGAATCGCATTAAGTTAATATAAAAAAAGAAATACCATTTAAAAAATTCAGCAGCCCTGCTCCATATGAAGGCCACAAGCATTGCTGTGATGAAGATGTGACACAGAAGAGTCACGAAATTGTACTCAACAACCTCAAAAAGAAACCATATTACTGTCATCCCTATCAAGAGCGAGGCTGATACTCTTTTGTTCCTCCATAACAAGACGTCCGCAACTGAGAATTTAGTCCAGTAAATTATATATCATCGTTTTGCTGTGAATGCAGTAAGTTTAAACTCAAGTTAATGAATAAAACATTATATATATAGTACCTTTTCCTCCTCCAAGAACGGCATGTACTGGCCTTTGTCGCCCAAACAACCTTACCGGCCGCTGCCCGGTTCTTGATAGTGCTGCAGTGTCGTTCTCAGAGTCGGATGACGATGAATAAATCGGCATTGTTGTTTAATTTTCTATGTTAAATTGTTATTATGTGCTGGTGATATTTGTTCATTAGCACCTGTTTTTAAATATATGGAGATGAAGAGTTCTAGGAATGTTAAGAGAATTAAGGAAGTGGAATGAAGAAGTAAGGAATGGCTTGGAGCTTCGCTTTGAAGGTTGCTTTGCATGCCCGCCACTACAAAAGGTTGCCTATCTTGTGATGAACCCTTCTATTATATTGGCCAACAGTTGCATTAATTTGAGAGAAAGAATAACTTCGTGTCATGTCACCCTATCATGTGTACATATATTATCTTAGGAGTCTAGCACACCAACGTGTAACTTTGAGAATATATTGATGTATTATCTATGTAACATATGCTACCCACCTTAACGAGTGAGATTTGGAGAATTTCAACCATTATGTGAGTTATGATCTTTATGTATTGTTTTACTCACCTTATTTGGTTAATTCAGAGCGTGTGCCCCGACTCAAACTTAGGTATTGTCTTTCTAAACGAGATAGGGATATTATTTGGGCGATGTGGTATTATCTAACATAATTTTATTAATTTAGCATATATTCGAAAGACTCCCTTGTTATAAACTTATTATTATTTGATGGGTCTAGTTAATATGTGTTTAGCTGAAGGAAACATTACAATATCTAACTAGTAAATTGAATCTCGTTTACTTAGAAGTGGAGGCTAGGGGTGGTTTGATGCTCTAGGGATCACGTGAGCTTGAATTAAACTTTGTAAAGTTTAACTCCAAAGGTCAAAATACTTGGCCCTTTTCCCTCAAACTGAAAGCGTTTGTCTCTGAAACGTATATACCTGAAACCTTATTGGTATATATACCTCCAATTTGAGTGTCATCACTTCCTCACTGAAATGGTGACTAGTGCCCGTATGGATGGCGGAGGCAGATTAAACTATGAATGTTTGGGGAAAAAAAAAAGAATATCTTAATGTGATTATATTATAAACTGGTCATAGTTAAAGTACATTTTGTATTGATTTTCAGATGGAAGAGCAGTTTCTTCTTTGGAAAAGATGCATTCGATTTCAAGATGTCGTTTTATTAAAACTAATATTCCTTAGATTTTCTAAAGGTAAACCCCCTTTCATTCACGTAAGAGTTTATTTTCGAGGGTTCTATTCAGCTCGTTCGAAGCTTGAAGGTTGGACAGGTAAACTTCAATCTTATATAAGCAGTTAAAATAAAGATAAAATAATTGATATTATCTTATATATAGATACGTTATGTAGATAAAATTTGATAATTTCATTGAAGATCGCTTGCATAAATGTATAAAATTATATATATTGAGACATAGATCTTTGGCTTTTCTATGTTTTTAATTTTTAAACAATATCTTAAGGCTTAAGACTTTTCTTTATATATACACTGTTCTTTAGAATACAAATATAAGTTAATTACATTAATGATTTATCAATTAAAATACGATAAAAGACAATAAATCCCTCGAATATTTCGTTACATATAAATTACATCACATTATGTAGATACATTGTATTCTATATTAAAGGAGTTGTACTATTACGTACGTGTCAAATTATACCTGAATAATCTCGTTTAATTAATCATTTTTCTTAACCTCTGGAACTTTTGTGAACAATTTCTTCAATCCATGGATCCCTTTGTCTGCAAAAGAATCAACGTAGTCCTCATATCGATCATACAGAAAGGGCAACGTTTCCGAGCAGAGGAAACCTTTAGGCACAACAAATTTAGAGAAACAATTTAATAGGCCAATTCAAGCTTCAATTTTTAAATCATGGAAATTAAATTAATGTAATTAATTAAGGTGAAGATTCTTACTGAAATAAAGGAGATTTAAGAAGTTGAAATGGTTTCCAATTACGGACAATATGTAGAGACAAACAATACTCTGATGAGAAAATAAGAATAATTAATTGTTAATGAAATTATCGCCAAGCTTAATTAATATAGGTAAGCTTAATTGTATTGTAGCCTCCTAACTCTTTTGATGTAAAAAATTAATAATATTACCCCATAATTTAAAAATCAACAGAAGAAATGTACAATTAGAGTAATTTTGCCTACACTTATAGTCTTATATCATTTCAAAAAAAGAAAAAAAAATCTAACATTAAAATAAAAAAATTTAAGAACAGTCTTAATCCTTTGATTTAAGAAACTAATAATGTTACCTCTAATTTTTAAAATTAAATGTTTAGATCAAATAGGAAAGAAATAACATTGTTAGTTTTTGAGATCAGAGGATAATATTTTCTTAAACATTCTATTATATGGTTGTAAAGCATACCAGAAATATGAGAATTGGATTAATTTCAATAACCAAATCTTTTCCATATGCAAGGTCGATAAGCTCCATTAGTACCTGTTATTGTAGAATTGTGGAAGCACTTTAAAATTAATGACAAATTAAATAATTCATTAATTACACACAGAACATAATAATTTAATATGATTTGACGTAAAGTCTATTTTAAAAAAAAAAAAGAAAAAAAAAAAGAGAAATTCATTAACATACACGATAAGATTAATAATACTGACAAAATCCTTAAGACTCCTAAGGTGTAACACTCACAAATTGTCTTTGCATGAGACAATTTGATTGTCAACGTATAGGAATTATAATCGTAATTAATCTCTTTAGAAAATATACTTTTATCCCCTTTTATTAGTTGTATTTGTATTTTAACATATATATATATTTTTTAAAGAAATATAAGCTCATAATCATAAGAAAATTATAAAAAGAAACCAAGCGAAATTCTTTACAACACCTCATTTAATCTCTCGCAGAAGGTTGAAACAACTTCTCTTAATGTTGATTCACTTACTATAGTTTCCTTGAGAAAAAACCTGAGATTTTCACATAACAGTTTAATGAAGATAATGTCTTGGATATATAAAAATTACAATTCTAACAGTAAAATTATGTTATAATGCAAGAGGAAGACGTTTTAGTGTGAAGAAGAAACAAATACCGATAATCGAAATATATTTGAATTCTGAACCAAATGAAAGCTACAAGCAACATGGCCATAGAAATGTGACAGGAGAGAGTCACCAAACTGTACTCCATAACCTCGAAAAGAGACCATATCACTGTCATTCCTATCAACAGCGAGGCTGCTGCTGTTTTATTCTTCCATAACAAGATATCCGCAACTGAGAATTTAATTCAGTAATTTTGTTAATTTTTCATCGACAATGAGTTGGCAAAATTGAATTACGTAAAATACATGAGGTACCTTTTCCTCCTCCAAGAATGGCATGTACGGACCTTTGACGCCCAAATAACCTTAGTTGTTGTTCGGGGGGCATGTTACTGGCGCGGTTTCGTCCCTGGAGTTTGGCTGCACTGTTAATTAATTTTTATGTTAATTAATTTGGCGAATGTGCTTTTGAGATATGCATTTTACTTCAATTTAAATAAATGGACATGAAGGCACTAGGCTTCTCAAGAGAATTATGTAACTCCATTGAAGAAGTAAGGAATGTCCCGGGGCTTTTCTTTAAAAGAACAGAAGTTTGAATATCTTTTTGAAGAAGCCTTCTATGATATTGGCCAACCATTGCATAAATTTCGGAGAAAGAATTTAATTACTGTGTATATTTAACTTGTTACTTTTTTTGAAAGTATTTTTATTTGAAGGTGTTATGCCTGAAAAGTTAGGACTGGCGTGGACTCGTCAACAAGAGCCAATCAGGGATCAGGAAGGTTTTGTACCATTGAGGCACTGTCACGTCGCATAGTGAAGGAAGAGGTATGGTTCTTGTCAATGTAGCAGGTGAGTGCCAGACTTGCGAGTGGTTAGGAATTATCCACCTGCACGAACCCTATGCAATTTGAGCATATTTCTTGTGCAGATAACTAATGGGATGCAAAGAAGGATTTGCACGGCACCTACTCACTTGTAGACTTGTAATCATTACCTTGAACTCTCCCATTATAAATAGAGGACACCCCTCTCCTTTATGGAATTGGCTAATCTTAGACTAAAATAGCTTGCACATTTTCTCTCTCTTTTTGTATTCTCTCTAGATTATGACTCAGTTCGCTGCACGCGACGTGATTTCACCCATCTATTAATACAATAGCAGTGGATATAGGATTCGCTTTTGAGCATCCGAACCACTTTAAATATCGCTTCTCATTGATTGTTTCATTTCATATTTCCTTATCACATGTGATTTCTAAGTTTGCTTAGCACTTTGCACGTGTGAGTCATTGTTGTCAAAATCAAGCATCAACAGTTTGGCACTAGAAGGAGGGCCTGATTTAGTATCTACTCTTCATCAGAAATCTCTGACTAATCGTTCCTACCAATCAGCAAATGACTCGCGGTTTTGAACCTGAGCGAACTGACTATGACAATGAGGAAATCACCCAGGTACAAGAGGACACTTCTCCCAAAGTGTCGTAAGTCCAACAGAGTATCATGACGAATATTCCTTCAAGCTCGCGGCTCGACCCAGCCGTCATGCGTTACTTGAAAAGGTTCAATAATACTCTCCAAACAATTAGGCGAAGGCTAAGCTGTTTGGATCAGGTCATGCCACCAGAATCCAATGAGGCGGTGCCAACGCCAAAAAAGCCTGCAGGTCGCGTGAAAACGTGAAAGCCCATATTGCGCGCATTGTAACACATCAAAGAAGGGGAAAGCAAGTGGCGAACATCAGACCAGAGGGCTCTGAGGGACCAGTGAACACCGGTCGCGCAAAGGGTAGAATACCCCTGGCACTATGACTCAACGGCATGTCACAGCATGAGTCGTCCCACGTCACATCGCATGGGCACTCCCACAAAGGTGCAAGGTGGGAAAATTCCCAATATCACCTAAATGACGACCTCGACCGTCGTCATCCGAGAAATCCCAATCGTCTGCGGGTCGGTTCGGACCACTGCAGTGATCGAGAAAATTCCCCAAATCACTCAATGCCATAACAGGGCTCTAGTCAGCGTGTGTCAAGGTTTACCGAAGCTTTCAACTGAGTCGAGGAAGAGCCTGATTTGTGGTCTTTCCTCAATCGCAACCATAAGGGTCGAACCCACGTTGGGGAAAATGATCCCTAAGCAGCTTTGCTGCCTCAGATTGAGGAACTATAGTGAGCGTTGGATCAACTTAAGGCTCAACAGAATGAGTGTGGGAAGGTCGCGAAAGCGTCTCCCTTTTCTCCAACAGTGTTAGTTGCTCCTTTCCCATCGAGATTCAGAATGCCCGACATGCAGGCATTCGATGGGAATTCAGACCCACAGGATTACTGTACGAGTTCAACAACCTCATGGAACTCCACCAAGTCTCTGACTTGGAAAAATATCGTTGCTTAGCAGTAACCCTAACTGCCATGCCAGCGCTAGTTTAGGTCGCTTCTTGCCGGATCAATTAGCTTATGGCCTCAAATAAGCTCGTCATTCCTGAGACACTTCCAGGTGAATAAGAAGTTCTCAATGTAGTTGAGCTACCTAAGCAACATATGGCAGGAGAGGGATGAATCCTTCCAATCTTACATACATAGATTCCACAGGGAACTCCACAAAGTGGCTCATACTCCCGAAGAGTCAGTTCAGACTCTCATTATTGCGGGAGTTCGCCCGCAGATGGATTTGTGGAAGGAACTAAAATCCGAAGACGATGTTTCCCTCTCCCGTTTCTACAACTTCACCGAAAAATAACTCCAAATTGAAAATTCGATGGCAGTTTTTAATCGCCACGACCCCAGTCCCTCGAGCAGTGCCCCCAACCGGGGGGAGAATAGAAGGACTGATCGCAGATGGGCTAATGACGATCAGTGGAAAGGAAAAAAGCAGCGGTTTGAGCCCAAGAAATCTTATGCCCCAGTTTCTCATCGTGATCGCGACAAGAATTAGTACACTCTTCTGAACGCCTTAGTATCAGCCATTCTAGATAAGTCAAAGGAGGCCAGCTTGCTCGAAAAGCCAAAACCCATGAAGAATCCCCCCTCAGTCAGAAACAATAAAAAGTAATGCCGCTATCATAGGGATAATGGGCATCACACTGATAAGTGTCGAGCCCTCAAGCAGGCAATCGAAGATCTCATCAAGTAGAGGCACTTCAAAGAATATGTTAATGGCCCAACTCCCGTTCAGGAGAAAGATTAAGAGGAACTAGGGAAGAAGCACCGTGGTCGCAAATAACTCTATTATGTGGGGATCATCTTTGGAGGACCACACCTTGTAGGGAATTCTCGAGATGCCCAAGAGAGGTATGCTCAGGAAGCCCGTCATGACCTCCTGAGTGTAATGAGCATAGCGTCGCAACCCACTAAGGTTCGCAGAAAGGAGGAGATCACATTCTCTGAGAAAGATGCGGTGAGATTGCATCATCCCCATGAGGATGCTCCCGTTATCATGCCTGAAATAGGCCGGTGCGAAGTCCATAGGATGTTAGTGGACAATGGGAGCATCGTAAATATCCTGTTTCAGCGAGCTTTCAAGAAAATGCAATTGGACGAGGCAGACCTGAAGCCTACCTCCATCCCTCTTTATGGTTTTACTGGGCATCATCTGATTCCTAGGGGAACGATCTCGCTCTCGGTCACGTTGGGAGAAATCGAAAAAATGACCAAAATAACATAATTTTTGGTAGTAAACTGTCTATCTACCTTTGATAGAATTTTGGGACGACCTTTGCTGAGAAACTTCAAGGCAGTCACCTCCATCTACCATTTGAAAATGAAGTTCCCCACCCTAACGGGATAGGGAAAGTAAACGAATCTTAACGCGAATCTTGCAACTACTACATAAGAGCAGTACAGATGGAGTGCAAAGGAAGAGGAATACCAGTTGGCATCCCTGAACAGGCAATAGCGATCAGTAGGATCGAGCCACAGATCAGCCCGGTAAAGGATAGCATAGATTCTCGCATCCAAAAGTGTCTTCACAGTGGGCTAGTCGAGGATTTATCTGAGGTATCAGTTGATAAAAATGAGTCAACCTGAGTGTTGAGAATCGAGAGTAATCTCAACCCTCAACTCGCCAAAGACCTAACAAGTTTCCTCAAAGAAAATGTCTACATGTTCGCATGGACTCATGCTGACATGATTGGGATCAGCCCGAATGTCATATGCCATACGCTGAATATTGATAGTGTGGTCAAGCCGGTTCGCTAGAAGAGAAGAGCAATGGACCCTAAACGTTATGCTACACTGAAAATCAAGGTAGATAAGCTCATTTTGAATGGGTCCATTCCAGAAGGGCTTTAACCCAGCTGGGTTGTAAATCCGGTCTTGGTAAAGAAGGCTAGCGGCAAGTGGTGAACCTGTGTTGAGTTCACCAACCTCAACAAATTCTATCCGAATGACAGCTTCCCCTTGCCAAGAATCGACCAACTCGTCGATGCTACCTCCAGGCACGAGCTGCTGAGTTTTATGGACGCCAACTCGAGATATAATCAGATTCTGATGTATGCATCAGACGAAGAGCATACCTCGTTTGTTACAGATCGGGGGCTGTATTGTTACAAGGTTATGCCCTTCGGCTTAAAAAATGTTAGGGCAACTTACCAGCAGCTGGTTAACCGAATGTTTTCTAAGCAGATCAGAAAATCGATGGAAGTCTATGTTGATGACATGTTGGTCAAATTGTATGTCGCTTCAAATCACATAGCACATCTCGTTGAGATGTTCAGCGTACTCCGAAGGTATAGAATGAAGCTCAATCATCTCAAGTGCTCATTCGGAGTATCCTCGGGAAAGTTCCTGAGATATATGGTTACCTAGAGAGGAATAGAAATTAACCCCGAGAAGATCCAAGCTCTCATTGATATGAAAAGCCCGACCAACCGATAACAGGTTCAGAGTCTCAATGGGAGAATAGCTACTCTTAGTCGCTTCATATCAAGGGTAACAAATCGCTGCTTGCCATTTTTTAATATACTCATGGCCAACAAAAAATTCGAATGGACTCCAGACTGCGAGCAGGCTTTTCATAGCATAAAAGAGTACCTCGAAAATCCACCTCTCCTATCCAAGTCTCTCCCCAAGAAAATTCTACTCCTGTAGCTGTCCGTCTCTCAGCATGCGGTCAGTGCAACTCTTATTTAGGAGGAAAGCAAAGTCCAATGGCTGGTATATTACACGAGCAAGCGACTGCTGGATGCCAAAATGCGGTATCTAGAAATGAAGCGATTAGCTTATGCCCTACTGATCACCTCTAGAAAGCTACGACCCTACTTCCATGCCCACACAATCCATGTCTTCACCAACTATCCACTCAAGTAAGTCTTTTAGAAGCCAAAGGCTTCGGGTAAGTTAATCAAATTGGCAATGGAACTAAGTTAGTTCGATCTGCGTTATAGACC